TTTTTCAGAGGACATGATCTCATATGAGGAAATCATGAAGAACCTACAGAAGCAACTGTAATACGCAAAGTTGGTAAATTTGCAGCATACAAAATCTACACAAAACAATTAGTTGCAGTTGTATATGAAACCATAAACTACAAAAAGCTACCTGAAAAACCAGGAATAAAATCTCATTTACAATACCTACAGAAAGAGATGCTTAGGAATAAATTTTACCACGGTGATAAATATCTACACCAGAACTAGTGGTGGAAGACTGGACAGGGGCTGACATGGTGTAGTGGGTTAATTACCATCTGCAATGTCAGCATTCCAGTTCTGCTGCACCATTTCCTATCCAGCTTCCCATTAATGTGCCTGGGACTTGGCCTAGGGCACTCATGTTAGAGACCTGCATGAAGTTCCTGTCTGCTGTGAAGCTCTAACTCTGCCTTTTACATAAAGATACATCTTACAATGAAAACATATCCCATGTTCATAGGTTGAGAGGAACAATGTTGTTAAAAATATCCACTATTACTCAAAGTGATGTAGAAATTAAATGGAACCCATATGAAAAAATTGCAGTGATATTTTCACAGCAAAAGGAAAAAAATCCTAACATTTATATGGAACCACAAAAGTTCCTGAATAGCCAAAGTTACCTTGAGCAAAATGAACAAAGCTGGGGAAATTATGTTATCCGATTTCAAAATATATTACAAAGCTACTGTAAGTGGGCCGGGTGCAATAGCCTAGTGGCTGAATCCTCACCTTGCATATACTGGGATTCCATGTTGCTGCCAGTTCATGTCCTAGCTGCTCTACTTCCCATCCTTTTCACTGCTTTGTGGCCTGGGAAAGCAGTAGGAAATGCCCCAAAACTTGGGACTCTGCACCTGCAAGGGAGACTGGAAGAGGCTCCTGGCTTGGGAATCAGCTCAACTCTGGCAGTTGTAGCCACTTGGGGAGGGAACCAGCAGATGGAAAATCTTTCTCTCTGACTCACCTTCTGTGTATCTGCCCTTCCAATAAAAAACAAAATATTTAAAAACAAACAAAAAAAGCCAAAATCCGTGTAAGCAAAACAGGAAGTTGCTGGCATAAAAACAGCTATATAAACCAACAGATCAAATATTTCAGAAATAAATCCAGCACTTGCACCAACTGATTTTTTTTTAAAGGCCAGAGTCAATCCCAGGCACTTTAACATGGGACGCAGGCAGCCCAAGCAGCATTACAACACAGGACCAGAACTACTGCCCATCAAATGCCTATTTTTAAGCAACCAAAATTACCTATTCCAGGCAGAAGATAATTTAATATAAAAACAAAATCTGGTATCTTAAAAGTTGAACAGTAACATTTTGTCAAGGATTTTAGAATTTTTCAATTTATTATCAAGAAAAAGAAATCAGTATACACAAAGATATTACACAGGTAACAAAATTTTATACAAAGAAACATTTTTGACATTTTAAAAAGTATTACATCTTAACACCAAACATTAAATAACTGAACGGTACCTGAGAACTTTTAAAAATCATTTGTATCAGTGCCTCCAAATTCTTTCCAGTCATGAAGCATATAATAATACTTAGAACAGTTCCAGAAAATAGGATCTTGCCATTTTTTGGGATCATAGCCAAGAGTGTTTTTAGGGTTTTACTTTTTAGAAGAAGATTCATCTCTAAGGTTCACCTGTCCTGGCCCCTACATTTAAGAACTGCCTCTTTTCCAGAAGTTTTGTATTTTCCTTTGCACCTCAAAGCCACCTAAACTGTGCTACAGTGGCCAACAGGATCAGCAAACTAAACAACAACAACCCAGTGTGTCACCAGAGAAATCTGAAGCCAGCTCATCAAATGGATCCCCAAATACTTAAAACTTATCTATATCTTACTACATCTTATGGAAAGCTGTAATGTTTTGATCAGACAAGAAAATTTAACAAAAATATGAAAGGTAGATATTTGAAACTTTTAGCAAAAAGTGATTTATCCACTGATACTTTTACAAAGTTCAATTTGTTGAACCAACATTTCAAAGCAATGATTATGTATTATCATTCACACATTGTCTAATGAATATCATCTGTAACTCCTTACATTAAAAAATGCAGTAGTAAACTGAAGTTGTGGAAACAAGTGTTAAGAATATAATTTGATAAATTACCCCTTTAAACAGAGAGTTACTAGCAAGTGATACATATCCTAACACCACAGACCTTCAGAAAATAAAGGGACTGCTTTTCAAAAATTGTCTTTCTTGTTTATTCCTAAGACAACTTTGATCTATGCTATCATATTTATGAAATAAATTCCAGACATTAATTCTGATATTTAACCTTATCAATTGTTAACTTTGTGAAGTCTTAGACAAACAGGCATAAAATTAGACAGAGAATCCATGTATTTTTTGGTAAGAAGCTACTCCTGGGCTTATTATGATAAATATGCATGAAATTTCTACTACATGCAATATAAAAGCATTTGTTTTCCCTCTTTCATATTCAGTCTTTGAAAACAAAAGATCAGAAGTTTCAGTGGCAACTTGGTTAATTATGATGAGACTTGCTTTAATAAAATCAAAATACTTCTAATTCTTGATCAACCTTGTCAAATTAACAATCAGAATTTTAGAACTAAACTTATTAACTGACCTTATCCTTAGTATTCCATAGGAAGTGGTTCTAGGAAGAATAAGTCTGAAAGAAGGTTCCCCAGGTCTAGGCAACAGCTAGGCATTCTAGAAAGAAATCCACCTCAAGGTTCTTGGTTACGCACAGACTCCATAACGATTTTTCTCACTCTGTTGTGTAGAACTACAAGGAGTGTACAGAGATTAATCAGGGCCAAAGGATATATACACATTGGTTTATTAATACCTCATTAGCACTATACAGTGTTTTTGCTCATACATTGTTTTATTTAGCATAACACATCCTATGAGGTAGGCTTGTATTTTCTGACTGAAAGGTCTCTGTTCTACTTACAAAATAATTTTCCAAGAAATCAATTTATGATAAATTTGGTACTACTATACAGCCTAATTAACTAATTCCCAGTCTCTTTCAACATGGAAAATTCATTTTTCTGAAGCATGGTTACAAATTGATAACCAGCTATTTCTGTATTTTATATATATATGTGTATATATATATATGATATTTTTCATTGAAAAGCCAGATTTTCAGAGAGAAGGAGAGACAGAGAGAAAGATCTTCCATCTGCTGCTTTACTCCCTAAGTGGTTACAATGACTTGAGCTTAGCTGATCCAAAGCCAGGAGCCAGGAGCCTCTTCTGGGTCTCCCACCAACTTGCAAGGTCACAAACGTGGGCTGTCCTCGACTGCTCTCCCAAGCTACAAGCAGGGAACTGGAACAGCTGGGATATGAACTGGTGCCCACATGGGATCCCAGCACATGGAGGGTAAGGACTTTAGGCATTAGGCTACCTTTCCAGGTCCTATTTCTGGGTGATATTTTGAGTACAGAGTTTCAAGGTTAACAATTTCAAAGGCAATTAAGATAACAGGTTGGGGGGGGAGGGGAAGAGAGATAATGAGGTCTGATGATAAAAATCAAGATACTGGTTTAGAGTCTAGTCCGTACAGGCTGAGAGGGATATAAAGGAAATTCCCAGGGTTCTGGAAATGTCCTAAGCATTGTAGTTCCATGGTGTTTACTACATAAATAAAAACTCACCTAGCTATACACTACAAACTAATCCTCTCTATGCAATTTATTTTATATAACCCTTAAAAAGACTGACATATTTGGAAGCACAAGTTTTGTCACATTCACCTCTGTATCATTTTTGGCACCTCACACGGTACTTTATACTTTAGACATTAACAAAAATCTGATGGGGTTGATGCATGAACATTAGAGTGGCTATACCAAGTGCCAAGTGCACGGGGGAGAACTGAGGTTAGAGAGAGGACAAAATAGCCAGTTAGATATGAGACAACTTAACTTTTTAATCCCCAAGGGCTACAGAAGAGTTTTCAAAAGGGAGGCAAACAGGTCAAGTAACAAATTTTCTAGGACTTAACTGTCATTGGCATCACTGCTTTTCTTGTCTCATTAAGTATCTTTCTGTTTAAATACTGTATCCTTGCTCATATTTCAAGTCACTCTTACGTCAACTTCACCCTTCCTTCTCTAATAATAGCCACCATTTATTCAGCACCAACTGTGACAAGAGGGACTGTGCTACGTGCTGGAGTCCCAGAGATGAATGAGACCAACACTGAAATGAGGGTAATTCAACATGAATTCTATGACATGGGCATGTACAAAGCTACATCTTGCCCTGAAGGCAGTACCAGCCTTTATAGAGGAGAAGCGCCATCTTAAAGGATGAGTGTTCAAGGTGTAGAAGAGCAGTGTGGGTAACATTTAAAGGTATGAAGGCCTGACAGGAAAAAAAAATCTTTTTTTCTTTTTAACTTAAAAAAAAAATATTTTATTTGAAAGGTAGAGTATATTTATCAAGAGGAAGGGAGGGTGGAGGGGAAGAGGATAAAGGGAGGAGAGACAATATGAATGAATGAATGAAGCTTCACTCCCTAAATGGCAGCAATAGCCAGAGCCAGTTTTGAAATCAGAAACATCTTCTGAGTCTCCCACATGAGTGATATGGGCCCAAATTCTTCACATATTTTCCAGTACTTTCTCTGGTGCATTAGGGAACTAGAATGGAAGGAGCTGGGACATGAACTGGTGCCGACATGCGATGCTGGCATGCTGACGTAACCCAGTATGCCACAACATCAAGCCCAGATTTTTTTTTTTTCCAAAGAATGCTAACCACATAACAAGCTGTAAAATGGGTTATTTGAAACAAACAGATTCTTGTTTGGTAAAAAGAATGAGGGCCTTTATTAGCTAAGTGGCAGAAATTAAGAAGGGACTGAACAATGAATTTTTAGGAAGTAGACTCAGAAAGATTTGATGATGAAGTAGGAGTATGAAAGGGTAAATTAAAAACATGATTTTGAGCTTACCAGCAAATGTCTTAAACGGCAGGGTAAATGGTAATGCTTAAGGAGAGCAGAGAATAAGTGATTAAAAGTCAGTTTAAAAGGGCCTCTTGGTATCATGAGAGAAGCTGCAGCGCTGAGCCCTGCTGAGATCACACAGGGCAAACTGACTGCCAACTAAGGATCTGGGTTGAGACCCCAGGGAAAAACAAAACAGATTCTTTGAGAGGACTGTCCAAAGAGGAAGTAGTCAAAGGAATTGAATGGTTATGGGGTAAGTCAAGCAGGGTGAATGAAGATTGACAGATACCTGACTTGACAAGGGGGATAGTCTCTGGCCACTTTCCAGAATATTCTGAGAAAACAGTAAAAGCTAAAGTTAGCAACAGGCTATGGAATGAATGGAAAGTGGAGATGCAGGCTGCAAAGTCAGGATGTAAAGAGAAAGAGCAGAAGGGTGGCAGGAAAATTGGCTTTTAATCTTTTCGGATTACAGAAGACATTTATTGTGCCATTAAAAAAAAGAACACTGGTGATGTGAGGGCATGAGAAACAGGATGGGAAAGAATGAAAGAAGAATTAAGGGCACAAGTAGAGTTTAGGAAGAACGGACCTTTTTCGCAAAACGAAAGTGCAATGTTAAAAGAACAGGTGAAAGTAAAACACACACACACACATTTAACAGAGTAGAAACATGTAGCCTAATTTGCTTTAAATTACAAAGTAAGTTCTGTAACCAGTAAATAGCACCTAAAAATGAAAACTTCCTTGAAAACCCTCTAAACATGGGTATAACAGTACTTACAATACAAATGAAAAAGCTACAAAAGAAGTCAATGCTTATGTATTTTTAAAAAATTTATTTACCTAGTGTAACAGTGTGGCTTTAAACTGATAACTGCCAATTAATACAGAATTATAAAATTCTGTATTTTCAAAAAACTTACCATCATCTGCAGAACTCTTAAGTTCAAAATTTTAACAGAAAAAAAATGGTTCCTTCAAGGTTTTCTTTTTCCTAGTAAGCTCTATTAAAAATGCTACTTATGATTTTTAGAATGTATATAATAAAACAGCTACTTTAAAAATCATAACTGGAGAAATACTAACCAAGCATTTTGTAAGTTAGTTGCCAAACATCAGGATAATTCATCACAATGAGTGCCCAAATTCTACCATCATTTAACCACTGTGATTATTTTGCCTTTTGACAATAATGGACTACCATTATCAATCTTAGACTTGAATACATACATCATTCTAACATGAACTCAACATTACAATAGGCACAATGTACAAAAACCATAAACATCTAACAGTTAAAACTATTAATTGTTCCTTAAAAAACTAGAAATATGTTCTATATTGAGGCAGACAGTGTTCTATAAACTAGAGGTTCAACAATTCAAAAATTTAAAAATTGTACCCTTGGGGAATGTATTATATTCCAGTAGAGGAAAACAAACAGTAAAAATAAATGATTACTAAAGTCAGATCACGGTAAATAACATGGACTTATGTAAGGGCAGGGGGAGAGGTGGGAAATGCAGAGACCCTGACCAGATAGAGGAACGGAGAGACCTGAAGAATAGATCGGGTGAGTTATATTTTCATCTGGGAGAAAAGCATCCCAGGTGGAGGAAATACCAACTATAAAGATTCTGGGGTGGGCATGTATTTCGTATTTTTGGGGAGGAACAATGAGGGCGGAGTGCCTATAGCTGCATGGTGGTTGGGAAGGTGGGTTGGTAGCTCATGAGTCCAACCCACATGTCAGCTGATGACATGTGTGACGCGTCCATTCTGCTTAGGTCATCTAAATGGCATTAGAAACAAACAAACAAAAATCATACTGTTTACTACTTGGTGAACAGACTGTTGGGGCACAAAGAAGTGAAGAGGGGTTTTGGAAGCTATAATTTCAATACAGGCCAGAGATGATGGTGGTTTATAATTAGGGTGTTAGTAGCAGAACTCCAAAGAATGGTCTGTTTTTGCATATATCTTGAAGGTAGGAGCTACTGGATTTTCTGAAAGATTTGGGAGAGAAAAAGAAAGAAGAATCGAGGATGATTCCAAGTGTTCAGCCTGAGTATTTAGAGGCATGGCATTGCCATTTACTGAGTTGGGGAATACTGAAGGCAAAGCAAGTTTGGGAGGGAAGTTCAAAAACTTAGGTTGCATATATGGAGTTTTGATCTTTAATTAGATTTCTAGATGGAAATGTTAAATAGGCAGTTTTGAGAACACAGGGAGAGGACACATAAAAAAAAAGTTCAAAGAAACTTCTTCCCTTAAAGTTATGGATATAAATCCAAAATTATGAGGCACTGTAAAGGTATGGATTTAACAGTATAAAATGTAGAAAACCTCCCATACCTCGAAAGCTCACTTTTACTGCCTTCTGCCCAACTTAACATTTTACAGAAGTTTTGACATATAAATCTAAGAAACTCCAAGAAGCCACAGAAAACCCCTTAGGGGTCACCTTGGCCCAAGGGCCTCAAAAACAATAAGGAATTAATTTTTCCAATGACATAGCCATTACAGGTTTTACCTTAAATTTGCTTGACAGCAAATTATCAGTTAGTTCATTTAACTACAGATACATTAATACATTATAAAAGAAGTATAAAAAGCACACAGGAATATTGTTTTAACATTCTCATAAGTCTGTACTAGAGAAATATGGCAAAACAAAGGACAAGAATCACACCATACATATCAGGCCATATCATTAAATACAAGGAGCAATAAAGGCCTTTACGTTCTGCTTCCTGAGCTTTCTGTTCTATGTAATCAATGCTTGCACTGTTTTAACACTGTTTTATGCTCTATGTAACCAAAATTATAGTGAATTGTTTTACTCCCTGTAAAACAAGTTCCTGGATTATTAATAAGCAAAAATTGGTTTTGTATTGTATTCTTGGCTAGACAAAAAATGTTGTTTCTATATAGGTAACATCAAAATAATTGCAAACATTTCAACTTTGCAAATTACACTTGAAAAAATCCATATGCAAAGGAGTCATTCAGCTGCTGCTCATTTTGCATAGTGCCAATAGCTGAATATTGACTACTCTGAACAAAACTGTGATTGTTTGGATTAGTGCTGTTGGATGGTCCAGATTCGTTTATCATGCTGTTATCTGTACAATTGAAGTCAGATCGCTCAAATGCCTCTGACTGTGAAACAAAAACAGAAGAACTAGACGTGGTTCCTGCTGACATACTGGAGGAAGACATCTGATGGAGCTCTCTCAGGTCTCTTGGGTCTAACAAGGAATTACACGAGGTATTTTCCAGGCTCATGCTCAGGAGTCTTGGGTTATCAGCTTCCCTCATACTGTCATTGCTGGTTGTCATCATATTCACAGAGCAGTCAGGCAATATGTTGGCATCCGTAATATACATGTTAGCTGATGACATGCGTGACGCTTCCATTCTGTTTAGGTCATCAGTATTGTTATAAATGCAAGCATCAGAAGTGTTTAAATCATTTCCAGCAGAGATATCCAGGAATGATGAGATACCTTGTGAATTAGAGGAAAGTGTACCTGCTTGAAAACTACCCAGTAGATTTGAATTGATTGAGCGTGAGGTGGAGTAGATCATTGAGGACCAGCTTGAAGAAGATGGAGGTACCACTGAGGTTATAGGTGAAATATGGGTTGTAAATTCACTTGAAATGGACACAGTTGGGGAATAGTAGGATTCTGCTTGACTGGCAGCCCCCGTTTCTGTCCGAACTGTACTATGAGGAAACAAGTTTGATTCTGTGGAGAGAAAGTTGACAAAATTAGTAATATTATAAAAAGCATAATTTCTAAATGAAAGTCACATAAACACATTAATGAAGAAAAATTACAACTGGAAGAGAGGAGCTGGTAAACCCCAAACACAAACGAAGGATAGAACAGAAGGCTTACTGACTTACCTGACTGATATCCTGCGTATGCATATTGAAATATTGCACTATACTTCCCACCCATATGTGTAAGTACTGCCATGTTAATTAAAAAAGTTTTAAAAAATAAAGTAGTTTAGGGAATGGTATCATGTAGCAAGTAAGGTTGCAGCCAATGACACTACCAGCCTCCCATATGAGCACGGCTTGTTTCCTGGCTGCCCACTTTTGATACAGCTCCTTCTAATGGTCTGGGAAAAGCAGTGGAAGATGGCTCAAGTGTTTGATACCCACTTGGGAGCCCCGGATAAAGATCCTGGCTTTAGACAGGACCAGCACTGACTGTGAGGCCATCTGGACAGTGATCTAGCAGATGGAAGATCTCTCACTCGTCCTCCACTTTTATAATACATAAGTCTTTAAAAAATATAATTTCAAAACAAAGTAAGTTGAGTCAGAATACTACAGAACGTCTCTAAACAGTTCAAAGGAAAGAAATCCTGTCAATATAGAATTATCTGCAGGGGGAAAACATATTTCCAAAATGAAGGCAAAATAAAGACACTTTAGGCAACAAAGGGAAAAACTCAAAGGAAATTGATGGAACATTTCAAATAGGAATTGTAGAAAGTATTAAAATTTTTATATACGTCCAAAATTCAATTCTATAATATGTACTACTTTACAACTATATGAAAAATGATTTTGGCAAATATAATTTTACTTCCGTCAAATATGAAAATCTAGCTTCCTAGATTCTACAGATTTATTTTTGAAAAAGTTAAAGTTAAATGCTGAAGAATTTCAATTAAAAGGAATTCAAATGAACAAAATTATATCATGATATCCATTTTTAACAGCATTTGATGGGATGGGGAAAACATTCACCAGGGAAGACTAAAAAATACACCTAATTTTATCAACATATGACCTTGAGGTATCACAAAATTCCTAATCTGTATTTATTATATAAATGTAACATACACTAAATCAGGAAAAGGAACTAACTAAAGAATGTAATGGAAGGTATAGACATTTGGTGTAGTGGTTAAAAAACCCAGAAGGGGCTCTTGGCTTCAAATCAGCCCATTTTGGGGGTGAACCAGTGGAAGTAGATCTCTAAGTCTCTCCCTCTCTCATTCATTTAAATCTTTTTTTTTTTAGGGTTTTTTTCTTATTATATTTTTCACAATCGTTACATAGTTAATTAGGGTAAGAAGGTTCAAGGGCTACAGGAAAGTGGGTAAGACTATTATTTCCACATTGTTTCTTTCATGTTTAAAAGGGGGGATAGTAAGGGAGAAGGCCCACTCAATTTCCCACCCTCCCCAGGTCCCGGATGTGGGGTATGCTCCGAGGGTCTTGCTCAAGTGGTTTTGATAGTTCAGCAGTTATGAATCACTGCCAATCCTGCCACTCCAAGCACTATGAGGTCATTGAAGAATCCACTGATTGACATAGTCCATCTTAGAGTCTGTGTTTGACCCCTATTTCGCTGCGAACATCTAGCTGAGATGGTTGACTGACCTATTCTGTCTTCTCTCTTTTCTTGGTTAGGGTTCTGAGTCCAGCATTTCAATTGGGGAGATCTCCAAAGAAACTTTACCTGAGGTGTTCTCAGACCAGATTCTTGTATGTACTAGCAAGTACAGGGCCTAGTACAGTCCATTGCCCTGATCAGCTGGTTGTTGCATTGCTGGGTTGGTTCTGTTTTCAACCCTGACTTTGACTGGAACCAATGGGTGTTGCAGTCCAGCCTGATTCTGCCCAGCACACACTCGGCCCTCGCATAAACCAGTGGGAGCTGCAGCCTAGTTAGAGCAACCCACAATAACCCCCATCAGGTTCTTTTAGGATGTTCACATCTGATAGCCTGAGTGCGCTTGGGTTTGAGTCACAGTTTCTGCTTCTGCTGGTGTGCACTCTGGGAAGTAGCATGTACTGGCCCAAGTGGCTGGGGCCTTACCAGCCACTGATAAGACCCAGATTGAATGCTTAGCTCTTGACTTTGGTCTGGCCCAGCCAAAGCAATGGTAGGCATTTGGGAAATAAAAAACTGGATATGAGATCTCTATCTGCCCTTCTAAGTAAACTAAATAAGCGAACTATTTTTTTTTATTTTAATTAATTTTTATTGGAAAGGCAGATTTACAGAGAAAGGAAAGACCGAGACTAAGATCTTCCATCCACTGGTTTACTCTCCAGGTGGCCACAATGGCAGGAGCTGGGCTGATCCAAAGACAGAAACCAGTAGCTTCTTTCTGGTCTCCCAAGTGAGTGCAGGGCCCCAAGCCTTTCGGCCATCTTCCACTGCTTTCCCAGGTCACAAGCAGAGTTGTGGAGCTGGATGGGAAGTAGAGCAGCCAGGACATAAACTGGCCCCCACATGGGATCTTGGTGTTTGATGAGGATTAGTCAATTGAGCCATGCACCAGGCCCAATGAAGTAATTTTTAAAAAGGAATATAATGGGGGGAAAGACTAACAGTTGACCCTTGGTTATATTCTGTATGCAAAAGGCTAGTAAATCCTTTGCTATAAAGAAATTAGGTAGTATTTTTGAGCTCTGTGGGCTATACATACAACTCTGCTATTGTAGTGGGGGGAAAAAAGACTAGTTGGAGACAATATATAATCAAATGACCACAGGTTACTAGCCATATCTAACCCTTTTCTTCCATGAAATACTGTAATTAACACACTACAATTTCTCAGACAGTAAATCATCAAAAAAATCTCTAGCAACTTTTGGATACTGAGTTTAACTCATTCAATACTAAAAATATAGAATAATTTACAGGAGAGGGAATATCAAAGAAATAGCTATTCATTCCTAAAAATGGAATTCCAACATTTTATATGATTATAGTCTTTCTGATGACAAGCAAGACTCTAGAGAAGATAAAATACCTTTTTTGATGAATCTTGCTTCTGCAGGTCTTGATTTCTCACTTAAATTAGCTGTCAATATAAAGTTTTCTCATTATTAAGTATAATTTTAAAAATAAATAATTTAAAATTTGAAATAAAAGAATAGTAAACATGAATCAACACAAAATATTCTTACCACAATACTTATCACAATCCTGCCACAGTTTCTGGAAAAGTAAAGTTGTTCTTTGTTTCTTTGACTTATTGCCATAAGTATCTAATTAAAGAAGAAATCAAAAAAGTAGGTGAATCACCATTCGATGACTTTTCCTTTCCATTAAATAATAAGCAATGATTTATTTAAATGTTTTAAATAAATGAACATAATATGGGCTTTCCAAATAAAATATTCTAAAGAATGTCCCAAATGAATGTTACAAATCAATAGGAAAAAATATTTTTCTTTATAAAAAATGGATTAAAATATTTATCTTGTTTGCTTATAACACCTATAAGTAAATAGTGTCAACTAATATAGTAAGTTCTTATAAGAACCAAATCAGAGACTAGACAGACTGGCAAGTTTCCCATCTATAAAAAAGATGAACAAGAGATAAAAACAGAGCCTCATGAGCAAAATGGAAATTCTGCTAAACAACTCAGATATTTTGAAATAATTCCAGATTAATCAAAACTCTTTCCTAAGAAAGAAACACAGAGCCAAAACAAACAAACAAACAAACAAACAAACAAACAAACAAAAACAACCAGCAGGTGTTTGGCATGACCCTTAAGTTGCCTCTTGGAATGTGTGCATCCTTTATGGGCATGCCTGGTTCAAGTTCTAGCTACTCTACCTCCAATCCAACATCTGCAAACACAGACCCAGGGAGGCAGCAAGTAAAGACTCAAGTAGATGGGTCCCCACCCTTTATGTGGGACAACAGGTTCCAGGCCCTCCCACCAACCGAGCCCAGCCTTGGGTGTCACATTTGAGAAGTGAATCAGCAGATGCAAGATCTGTCTTTCTGCCTTTTGAATTAATTGGATATTTTTTTAAACAAAACTTCCAGGAAACGCAGCATGAATTAGGAATATGAAGGGATTTCAAATACTTCGTGCAAAGGGGCAGGGGTTTAGCCTTAGAGTTAAGAGGCTTGCATCCCATATAGAGTACCTTGAATTCAATTTGTTCCCTGGCTCCAGTTCCTGAATCCTACTTCCTAATATAGATCCTGGGACACAGGCAGTGGTGGCTTAAATAATTGAGTCCCTGCCCATGTGGAAGACCTAGATTAAGTTCCTAGTTTGGCTTAGGCCCCAGTCCTGTGGGAGCCTTTGTGAGCATTTAAAGAGTGAACCAGCAGTTGGGAGCTTTCTCACTAACTTTTTTAAAAGCTACACCCTACATGGGAACTTCTGATCCAGCCCCTTGTGATGCACCTGGGAAAGTAGCAGAAGAGGCCAAAGTACTTGGGTTCCTGACGCCATGCGGGAGATCCAGAAGAATCTCCGGGCTTCTGTTTCAGACCGGCCCAGCTCTGGCTTTTGCAGCCATTGGGGAGTGATGGAATGAATGAAAGACCTCTTTCCTCTCTGTCTCACCTTCTATATATAAAATTCTTCCTTTCAAATAAGTAAATAAATCTTTAAATTAAAAACAAAGTTCATGGAAAGTAGAACTAAAGCTATTTCAGTACAAAACACTTTGAAACTCATGTATTTTGTGGAGGCAGTTCCTCGTCCCTGGGTACTTGGACGTGAGGAAAGTTATGAGTGGTTTCCCCGTTTGTCTCTCCCCTTCCCCCCAGAAACAACAAGTAGAAATAGCAAATTTGGAAGCAATGAGTACACCCATTTTTCCCTAAACCTTGATCATTCCCACCCTGATCCACCATGTAATCATTGTAAAAATTAAAACTTATAAAAAAAAAGAAACCCATATATTTAAGAAATTTTCAAAAAGCTCATAGAAAAATGTATATTATGAAAAAACTGTGTATAGATCAAAATATTCATCTTTGAATTCTATTTTTCCACAAATCATTTGATATACACTTGTACATATAATACTGAAGCATATGAAAGTGTTTTCAGCAGTACCAACTTTAAGAAACATTTCAATCATTACTACCAAAATGTCATACCTTTTTCATCTGGTAGATATCTAAAATCCATAGATTCACTCACTTCCTGGTCGGAGGGTCTCCGTAGCTGCATTTTTACCGTTACTGGTTCTGTGATAGCTTTGCAATACGGTGGAGTTTTGAAAACAATGGCTACCTGACGGTGCACATCAGCTTGTGAAAAGATGCCTTTTGCTTCCCAATCATTCAACACAAACCGAACTTCTATGTCATCTAGTAAGAAACCAAAGCAACAATGAGAAAATAAAGTAAAATCCACTTATTAATCTAAAAGCCTTCTGAATTCAATGAAACAAAAATTAAATACCTTTCTGAACTTTGTCACAAAGTAGAAAGATTTCATCTCCTCCTCTGACACTTCCACAGTTCTTGTTTACACGACAAATCCTTAACTCTGCAGTATTTGGAGCACCTACATGTAAAGAATTTTTTGAAAAAATAGAGTTTTCTACCTTGGTAACATATTCCTTTTTGAAGGGGAGGATTTGAGAAACCCATTTACAGAATAAATGCTTTAGTGTACAGATAAAAGATGCTGAACACACTAACCATCCACATCAGTCCTTTCTTTTCTGTGTTAACTAACATGGCTTAGAGCTTTGTGATGTGATTTCTAGGAAAAGACACGCATTCCCCTGCTGCTAAATTCTAACTCCTCTTATCTCCTACACACTGTTACCAGATTACCCTTAAATCATGACCATATCCTTAACACAATGCAATTTTCATACTTTCTGTTACCTGGTCAATATGATTATAATAATTTTCCTAGCATTCAATGTTCTTCTGCCTTTATAGTCCTATGTCCACTATTTTGTTACACACAAAACTGATGAATCATACATAATGGCTTTGTGTACACAAAATATTTGTACAGCAATGTCATAATCTTTAATATAGTAATAAATGTTTCTATCTTTTAATTTGGCATTTCCAAATCTCTACTTCTAGAAATATATTTTAGAAAAAGATTTCCATAAGATAAGCACATAACAAGCATCTTGATTAATACAATTTTTAGGCCAAAAAGGAAAGAATTGAGAAGGAAACAGATATGCAATAAGGTAACAACTTAATAAAATTATGATATACCTACGTAATGAAATATGCAGTTGCAAAAATACAAAGGTGACTAAAAAGTGGTTCAAGATCTTACTGAGGGACAAGTTTTAAAAAACATTAATGATGATTTTCAAACTTGCCAAATTGTATGGATGCTGCTGCTGCTGCTAATGCATTGTATACAAACTGGCAAAGTACACACCTGAAGATAGTGATTATCTTCGCAGAACAGATTACAGCAAATTTACTGTTACATATTTTTGCAATATTCCGATTTTTACCACAAGAAGCATTTTTTTTTCAAATGACCAAAATACTTTTAAAAACTTCAACTGCTTAAAAAAATAAGCTAACACTATATAGGCAAGAAAATAACGCACTTACGGTTATTTAGCACTTACGGTTATCATAAATTGGGTTAGACACAACAGGAGGAAGCGCAGTTGTCAAGTTACCATGTTCATCAGGGAGGAAAACTTGGAAGCACAGTCTCACCACATTGAGGTCACAGTCTTCAATATCAAGCAACTGTTGTTCAGGGACTGAATAATACATTTCTTTTTAAGAATATGTAACAATCACAGAGAACTTAAATTCTATTATGTCCTCCATCCTGCCTATTATATCCAGTAACCTTGACTAGCATCCAAATCTGCAGCCTAGCAAAAATAGAATGATACAATCTTAATATGATTATTTTCTAAGAGTATCTGATAAATTGTAGCCATGTTCAGTTAGTAACTATCCCAGTTATCCAGGATTTAGAGAAAAATCCAAAATTGGGCCCAGTACAAGCCTCTAATATTTTCAGACTTTTGTATGTATGTTCTTGGTGAAGTTGAAATTTTCTCTTTTTGTACTATACTTTCCTGGTCTGTTATCTTTATAGCCTTCTAATTTGCATATAGGCAGGCTGTCTTCTTTGTAGCCTTTAAGGTTTTTTATTTTTTAAGATTTATTTTTATTGGAAAGGCTGATTTACAGAGAGAATGAGAAACACAGATAAAGACCTGCGTCTGCTGGTTCACTCCCCAATTGCCTGCAACAGCTAGAGCTGAGCAAGCTCACAGGCAGGAGTGAGAAGCCAGGAGCTGCTTCCAGATCTCCATGTGGGTACAGGGTCCCAAGCCTTTGGGCCGTCCTCCGCTGCTTTCCCAGGCCTCAAGTAGGGAGCTGGATGGGAAATGGAGCAACTGGGATTCAAACTGGTGTCCACATGGGATGCACAGATTCAGACTGGTGCCCACAAGGGATGCTGGCACCACAAGATAGAGGATTAGCCAATTGGGCCATCGTGCCAGCCCCTTAACTTCCCCTTACTCTATGGAAATATATAGCTTTCACTGTATTAAAATTCCTCTGAAATCTGTACAACATGGTTAAAAAACACTAATTGGGAGCCAGTGCAATGTCTCAACTGGCTAATGTTCTACCTGCAAATGTAGGGATCCCATATGGGCACTGGTTCATATTTAAGCTGCTCTGCTTCCCATCTAACTCCCTGCTTATGGCCCAGGAAAGCAGTAGCGGATAGCCCAAAGTCTAGGGACCCTGCATCCATGTGGGAGTCCTGGAAGAGGCTCCTGGCTCCTGGCTTCAGATCAACTCAGCTCCAGCCATTGTGTCTACTTGGGAATGAATCAGCAAACAGGAGATCTTTCTTTTTGTCTCGCCTTCTCTCTGTAAATCTGCCTTTCCAATTAAAAAAAAAAAAATTTAAGTTAAAGAAAGAATAATACATAAAAAATTTCGACTCTTGATTTTAATCACTGCATGTTATAGTTCCTAGTATATTATAAATATAAAGCTAATATTATACATGGTTTTAGCAGTTTGCAGAAAAAAAATTTTAATATTTGCAGTAAAAATCCTTTATAAAGGCTACCTATCACTCTTAGCTGAGTGGACACTTAAAATTTGCTATTGGAGACCTTAAATTCCTCACCAAATTAAGACTTTGCATGAATTATACAATATGAAACATATTCAAGTCTCAAATTTGATACTATTAGACTATATTAATTATCTGGAAAAGACAGTTCCAAGAAAGGTAATGAATGTTCTTAACACATACTAGATGATACATGGTATAAAATAGTTTCCATACCAAGTAATAATAAGATCAAGTCACATGGTGTTTGATCTTTACAGAACAGACCATCACTATGAGAAAGCTATCACCCATAGACCAGAATTTGCAGATCCTATTCTGCTAAACATTTCTATTTTTATTATTTCCATATGCCATAATTTTAACTGGTTCTTAGTGTTTTGAGGTTTTTCCAGGGAAGTTAGAATTTATTTGCTTTAACATTAGCAGTGTATATTTCAGGTCTTATTTCAATATTCTAGGAAAACAAAACATATACTTATTTGCATTGCAAAAACTATATCAGAATAAAGAACAGGATCTATTTAAAACATCCTATTTAAATTTGTAATCTTGCTGATTCCTGGTCTCTTGTACTATCTTTTTTTCCACTAACAGTTTCCATTGTCAAAAGTAAAGTTTATCTCAGAATTCTAAGAAATGCCATCTCAAAAGAGTATTACTAAAAACGTCAATGACCCAACAGATGGCACAAACCTCATGATATAACAGGAGCATATTTCTTTGGATTTAAGAGAATTGAGGTTTTTCAGGATATTTCAGATAAAGAAAACAGCCTGAATGTTTTTGGCAGGCAGGCATATACAAAGCATGATTACTGATTCCTATGTTCATGTATTTTATTTTATTTTTGAGAGATAGATTTCTTCCATTTGCTTGTTCACTTCCCAAATGCCTCCAACAGTCAGGGCCAGGCCAGGCCAAAGCTAGAAATCAGGAACTCCATTTGGATTATCTCCTGTTTGTGGCAGAAACGCAAGTACTCAGACCACCATTCGCTACCTTCCAGGTGCATTAACAGGAAGCTGTTCCAATATAGAATGTGTGAATCCCAAGTGTCAGCATAACCACTCCACAATGCTTGCCTCCACTTATTCTCCGAACAAATGTTAATTATGACTCTACCTTATACCAGTCAATGGATTATATGGCAGAAATACACAGAAGACAATCGGGGCTGGCACTGTAGTACAGCGAGTTTAGCTGTGGCCTGTAATATCCGCATACCATATCAGAGTGCTAGTTCAAGTCCTGACTGAGCTGCTTCTGATCCACATCCCTGCTAATGTGCCTGAGAAAGTAACAGAATTAGGCCAAGTGTTTTGGCTCTGCTACCTGTGTAAGAGACTGGGATATAGTCTTAGTGTTGGTCTGGGCCAATCCCAGCTGTTGCAGCCATTTAGGGAATGAACTATGGATGAAAGCTCTCTCCCCTTTTCTGTAATTCTGCATGTCAAATAAACAAATAAAACCCTTTAACAAAATGCAAAACCCCAGACCTCAAGCCAAGGTTGTCTAGGACCTACATTTTTAACAGGTGTTAGATTCCTTTGTGGGAAGCATTGCTAAAGTTGATCTGCAGCCACTTAAGGCTGTTCAGCAGAATGTTTTGAATGACTAATGTTACATGGATCTTTTGGATGTCTGAAAGGAAATTAAAGATAAAGGCAGAATCACAGGTTTTGAAACTGTCAACAATATTCCAGGTTAAACACGATGAAAGCTTACATTTCTACAGTAGTAGTGGGATGTAAGAGGACAGGACTGAGAAGGGTCAGGATGGGTGAGCAAAACGGTTTTCCAGAATAGTTTAAAGTTTATGAAGAGAAGCAGTGTATGAGAAGGCAGGAAAGATATGCTGGAGCTCTATATGGATGACTGCAAATATGGGTTCATTTAGCTCCAAAACTTTATATTGGTTCTTGGCATTTTGGCTAAGATCAAGTGTAGCTCCAAAACTTTATGAAACATTCCTGCATGTTTTTGATGACAGTACTAGGTTAACAAACTGTTCTAAGATTCTTCTAATGGGGAAAAACTATTGGTACTCAAATTTTGAGATGATAAGTTCTTGAGCCAAGGAAATAGCAAAAGAGCTAGAAGGAATGGATGTTAAAAGAAATGACAACAAAATCTGAACCACAGAAAACCTAAATACTACAGAGATTAACTTGTAGAAATTTCTTCCTAAATCTCTATTCACTTAGGTGGGAAAGAATATTTACTAAGACCATCAATCTTGGAGCTAGGTGACATGTGTTTCAAAAAATCCTGGCTGCATAACTCAAAAGCTAAATGACTTGTAGCAAATTACTATTTTTTCAACTCCATTTTCTTATAAAATGGAAATAATATATTGTGTTACCTCACAGATCATTAAAAGCATTAAAAGTAAACTATATAATTGCTACCTGCTAAAAATTACTTTAAATTCTGTGTCTATTTAATATCATGCCTGTGTCTATTTAATATCATGCCTGGTTCTAACAAACTTTGATAGTCATCATCTTCCTTTTTAATGCCTTTACCACAGAGTCAGGAAACTTGGGTTTGAATTCCAGCTCTGCTACTTGTATTTGCTGCATAACATGGGACAGTCACATAACCAAAGCTTGGGCTTTCTCTTCTATAAAGTGGTGCTATTTTGTTGATTGAATAAGATGGTGTATGTAAAGTACTTAACACTGACTCCCTGAAACACAAAGCTTTTAATCTATGAAATGATTATGTATGATCTTTCTACATTACACTGCATCTATAATTAGATGATCTATTTAAAAACTCAGCAAAAGTTTTTAAAAACACTTTTTCTTTGAGTGAGACATATGGACACAGAAAGCTTCTATCCGCTGCCCTTTTCCCCAAGGCCTGCAATGGCCAGAAGCCCAGTTGGGAGTCACCCATGTGGGTGGCAGGAACCACCACTGCCACCTCCTATGTTCTGTGGAGTCAGCAGGCAGAGCCAGGGTCACAAAAGTGGGTCGTGGATATCTTAACGACCAGGCTAAATGCCTACTCCCAATGAGTGAAAATCTAAGTGAATATACTTCTGACAAAGAAATGTCCACTTCTGGAAATTTATCCTAAGGAAATAATCACAAAAGAACTCAAAACGTATATTAGAGGGAGCTTTAGAAATATATATATTTATTTTATTTTTTTTGCAAAGTCAGACATACAGAGAGGATGATCCTCCATCCGATGATTCACTCCCCAAGTGACCACAATGGCCCCATCTTCACCAGTCCAAAACCAAGAACCAGGAACCTCCTCCAGGTATCCCACACAGGTGCAGGATCCCAAGGCTTTGGGCAGTCTTCGACTGCTTTCCCAGGCCACAAGCAGGGAGCTGGATGGGAGGTAGGGCTACTGGGATTAGAACCGGCACTCATATGGGATCCCAGGTGTGTTCAACGTGAGGACTTTAGCTGCTAGGCCATGCCGTGGGGCCCTGAGGGAGCTTTTTAATTAAAATTAAAAGAATGAAATGTTCACTAAGATACTAAACAATTAAATCACACTCTACCCAACAAATAATATTTGTTTAATATTATTTCCTTCCAGCTATCTGTTTTATGGCCTGGGAAAGCAGGAGAGGACAACCCAAAGTTTTGGGACTCAGCGCCTTCATGGGAGACCCAGAAGAGGCTCTTGGCTCCTGGCTTTTGATCAGCTCAGCTCAGGTCATTGTGGCCACTTGGGTAGAGAACCAGTGGGAGGAAGGTCTTTCTCTCTGTAAATCTGACTTTCCCATAAAAAAAAAATAAATCTTCAAAAACAAAGTTCTGTTGTTGATTATATCCTTGAGTTAAATATACTCTGCTTTAATCCCATTATCCACTCAGCAATCAGAAAGGAAAGTATGTATTGTTTGCTGAAAATGGCATAAGGAAAACCACATTCAACTCAAGTTAGAACATTTTGAGAAAGTTTCTTATTTTAAAAAATGACACTCTTCACTGACACAATAAAGGTTTCTCAGCATGATATATGTCTTTTCAACAACTGTGAAATAATTTAGACATAATTCATTCTTCATGTTCAGGTATAAATGGCAAAGTATAAAAGTAAGTACAGGGCCCGGCACAGTGGCTTAGCAGCTAAAGTCCTCGCTTTGAACACACCTGGGATCCCATATGGGTGCCAGTTCTAATCCCGGCAGCTCCACTTCCCATCCAGCTCCCTGCTTGTGGCCTGGGAAAGCAGTCGAAGACTGCCCAAAGCCTTGGGATCCTGCACCCGTGTGGGAGACCCAGAGGAGGTTCCTGGTTCTTGGTTTTGGACTGGTGAAGATGGGGCCTTTGTGGTCACTTGGGGAGTGAATCATTGGACAGAAGACCTTCCTCTCCATCTCTCTTCCTCTCTATATATCTGACTTTGCAAAAAATAAATAAATAAATAAATAAATAAATAAATAAATAAATAAATAAATAATTTTTTTTAAAAAAGTAAATACAGAACTTAAGATAGATGTTTAAACACCAGCTCAAGACAAATAGGAATTATCAGGAATCAATAATCAAATAAAAGAAACTTATAATAATCGTACTTACCATTGAAGGGATTGATTCCTGCACTTATTCTTGAAATAACAGCTTCTTTTACTTCTTTTTTCTTTACACAACGAATGCCCAAATTTTGAAAACTACAAAGAAAACATGAAATTTTCAAAGTACATTATAGTTAAATGGGAATGCTATAGAAATCAATTATGTGTCTAACACTGCAAAGTCATTATGTGGCCAAAGGAGATACTAAAGCATGAGATGAACTTTCAGTTTCTATGACAAATATATAATAAAAAAGTAGGGTGGTACACCTAGAGCACTGATTGAAGCTCTTGCCTGTTGGCTTCTGCCTAGCCCAGCCCTGGCTGTTAGGGCCATCTGAGGAGTGAACCAGCAGACGGAAGATCTCTGTCTCTAACCTGACTTTCAAATACATTTTAAAATCTTAAAAAAAAAAAAATGTGTTACCAGCCAGTGCTGTGGTGTTAGATCACCACTTGTAACTTTGGCATCATGTGTTTTGAGTGCCAGTTAGAGCCCCAGATGCTCATTTCTGAACCAGCTTCCTACCACTAAGCCTGGAAAGCAGCACAAGATGGCCCAGGTACTTGATCTCTTGCTACCCTGTGGAAAACAAGGATGGTGTTTCTGGCACCTGGCTTTAGCCTGGCCCAGCCCCAGGCCTGTGCCTGTCTGGGCAGTGAACAGATAAAAGAGCAGCAGATAAAAGAGCTTGCTCACTTACTTTTTTCTCTTTCTCCCTCCTTTTCTGTAGTTCTTTCAAATAAATCTAAAAAACTGAAAGTGGAGTGGTTTCTAAGAGAATTACTGAAAACAAAATAATAGTTACAATACTATATCATTTTTACATACATTATCTTATGATTACATTTTGTATGCCTCTGTGAACTATATCAAAATAGACATTAAAAGGAAAGCAAAATCTTTAGATCTAGATCATGTCCACACACTGAAGCTCAATAGGAATGTTTTTGCTGTCTAGCCTGAGATTTGCTTTTTTAAGATGTGACTTCTCTGCTTGTAGCAACAGAAAATTCTATTTTCTGTTAAATGAAACTAAATATTTATTTACCATTAAAAATTTTTTTTGAAATTCTGAGGGTTGGCACTGTACCATGCCAGCTGCTCTGCATTTGATCCGGATTCCTGCTCACGTGCCTAGGAAAGTGATGAAAGCTGGCCCAGGTGCTTTGGCTCCTGTCACCCACAAAGACCTGGATGAAGTTCCAGGCTCCTGGCTTCAGCTTACCCCAACTCAGGCCATTATCAACATTTAGGGAATGAATCAGTAAAAGAAGAGCTCTCTGTTCCTCCTTCTCCCTAACTTTGCCTGCCAAACAAAATAAATCTTGAATACAAAAAATGAAAACGCCAAGTTTTTAAAATCAGAGGTTTAACACTAACAATAATATTTAACAAAAGTTTCAAAATGTCACTTATGGAAAACTTCTCAATAGCTACAAATATTACTAATTTGCATGTGTGTAGTACAGATGATGGTGGGGGGAACTCCCCCACCACCACGAGTCATACTTGTTCCCACATGGAAAAACCATGACATCATTGAAGTTGGGTGGGTGTGAATAAGGAAGCAAAACTTAATTATAATAGCATTGCTGCTTGTTCAAACCACACAGAGTACTGCAACTGACAAATGACTTTTTATTCCCTCTTCACTCATGCCATCTTATGGTCATGCTTCTCACAGTCATAACTGTGATTTTAGTATCATCTAAGGTATCTTTCACACCTCCTTCCTTTACCATCAATAAATTAAATTAATACTGAATTTCTAAATCCTTCCTTAAAATCTTATTAACTATAATCCTCTTTCTCAATAGTACTCCACCTTAGAATAGTCTTAGTTTGATTAATTGGAGAAAACACTTCAAATAATTTTTTATTCTCACACAGTAGTTACATACTATTTTTGAATTTTTCATCTAAATAATGTTTGACAGATAATCAGAGTATCAGAAATAGTGAGTAGTTCTGAAATTCTAACATGGGGATCCAAAAGTCAAACTAATTATCTAAATCAATTATTAACTAATTTATAGCCATTTAACAAGATTCAAGGTTTCAATTTTGTACCAAAACTCCAGCAAGTAATTGGGACATACAGTCCTTCCTTCACAGGTCTCCAGGGATGTCGAGTCAGAAAAGGGGGCAGGGAAGACTCCCCTGCTGGGCTACTGCTCCCACTGGTGAGCTTGAGTACTGGGACTCAGGGGAGACCAGGCTAGGCAGGGCTACAACACCTGTTGGCCTGCATGTGAACTGGATTAGAGGGAGAGCCAGGCTGAGCTAAGCAACTATATACAGTGGTGTATGCATGAGCCAGAATAAGTGCAGGCTGGTTGGGCTTCTGGTGAGGCTTTGCCACAGTATCAGCTGGAAAATGCTGAGACTGAGGGCAAGTCCTGTTGAACTATGCTGCAGAACCACCTGGAAAGTGCAAGATCCGGGGCTGGGAGTGGGCCCAGTACGGAAACTGTGAGGACCGCTCTGTGGGCTACAGCTTCCACTGGTGAGCATGAGAACCAGGGCTGGCACCCACCAGCCTAAGTGGGGCTGATTGGCTAAGCTAGGCTGCAGCACCCATTTATGTGTACAAAAACCAAATGGGTTGTGGGGCAGACCAGACTAGTTTGCTGCACATACCAGGGCTGGGGGCATGCTTGGTGGGAGCTATAGGCTATCACTGTGACTGGGCTGCAATTCCTGCTGGTGTACATGAAGGCCGAATGTGTGGTGGGCAGGATTGGGCTGGGCCACAGTATCCATTAGTTTGTGTAAGAGATGGGACTGGAGACAAAACTGATCCAGCTACTGCAATCACCCGTGTGTGTAGGCTGATGTGGGTGGCAGACTGGGACAGACTCCGTACTGGCTAGCACATACAAGTCAGGTCTGGGGTCACCTCAGAGGAGGTTTCTTTGGAGACCCCACAACTGAACTGCTAGACTCAGAATTCCAACCATGGGAAAAATTGCAGGATATGTGGTCTGACTGTAGAGTGCGTGATTCAGAACTAGGCCTCCTCAGTTGCTGAAGATGGTGCACTGGATGGTGTGCCCAGATGCACATGGGGAATATGGTAGTCCACTGGGGCCTGCAGAAGACATCTAGTACCATATTAGAGGATCAAGGGCAGAACAAATTGGTCAACTACCCCAGCCAAGTGTTGACAGCAAGTATCTTGGCAAACGCAAACTCTAAGGTGGACTATGTCAGCCAATGGACCTTGAAAGAATCTCCCGATCCTTGGATCAACAAAACCAACGGCATTTCTGACTATCAAATCACTTGAGCAGTACTCTCAAGCATGCTCCACATCAGAGACCCTGGGATGACATTGGGTGGCTGTTCCCCATTCCTGGATACTACTGTGGTTAGGATGCTGGGTACATCCCTCTCCCCTTCTCTCCCACATTCTGCCACTACAAGAAGAAAAACAAAATCGGAAACAAATCATCTCATCCACTTCCCCCCATTCCTCAACCCTTCCCACCCCAATCAATGGTCCACAGGGTGATGCATACTTTTGAACTATGTAAACATCATCAAAAATAAAATTAAACAAACTAAAAAACACCTTCCCTCTCAGTTTACAGCATAACACATGGATCACAAATAGTAAGAAAATTTTAACATGAACTGTAGCACTTAAAAACAGAACATTTATTGGGGCTCAGCAGCATGGCTTAGCAGCTAAAGTCCTCACCTTGAACGCACCACACCGGGATCCCATATGGGTGCGCCGGTTCTAATCCCGGCAGCTGCACTTCCCATCCAGCTCCCTGCTTGTGGCCTGGGAAAGCAGTCGAGGATGGCCCAAAGCTTTGGGACCCTGCATCCGTGTGGGAGACCCAGAGGAGGTTCCTGGTTCTTGGTTTTGGACTGGCGAAGATGGGGCCTTTGTGGTCACTTTGGGAATGAATCATTGGACGGAAGATCTTCCTCTCTGTCTCTCCTACTCTCTGTATATCTGACTTTGTAATAAAAATAAATAAATCTTTAAAAAAAGACCAGAACATTTACTTTATTCTAAGAAATAACAAATGGCCTTGAATAGGAAATAGGGCATCCTATGTTTAACATGTTCCTGAAGACATCTGTAACTATGTACTTACAACAAAGGCCTGCGTTCTTGTCCAAATTCTGCTTCATAGTAACCATCTCTGCAGTCTTTCCCAACTAAATCATGAGGATGAGGTTTATAGGGGTCGTTCTTTGTTACCAACGTAATTCTCACTTTTCCTTTTCCATAATAGTTCATTATCTGAAAAAGGGGGAACATTACATATGATTTCAGAACTGATTTACTAAAGGAAGAGTTTGATTTACACAATGTAGTTAGCACTGGGTAAAAAAAATCCAACTGACCAGCAGCTGTGGCTTAGATGAAACTTTACAGAACACCAACAGGAAAGAACTTACCTGTTTCTGCCCTAATTTAGGTTAATTATGTCATTTAATGTTCCTTATTTTCCCACTCACCCTACTGCTAATGTATCTTGGAAATCAGAAGAAAAGGTACAAATATTTGGGCCCTGCAGCCAAGTAGGAGATCTGAACGAAGCTCCTGGCCCAGCCTTGACTGTTGTGCCCACCTGTTGAGTAAATCAGCAGAGGAAGACTGACTGGTCTCTCACTCTCCCTTCCTCCTTCTCTGTAACTCTGCTCAAATAAGTCTTCCTTTCCTTTCTTTTTTTTTTTAAAGAAATAAATGTTAACTTATGGAATGCCTTGCTCTAAATCGCACTGTCATAACATAAACATCCATGGAAAGTCTATCGTTAAGCCACACTAGAAGTGACAAAATCACATTATTTGCTTTATGTAACACTCATTTCACAAAAATACTTGAGCACGTAACAAGTTGAGTTTAACAAGATTAAGCTTCATAGAAAAAGTATACCTAGAATACACAGAGTAAAAAGAACTTGGCGTGAATAAGCAGAAAGACACCAAATTTGCAAGAACAAAGCAGGGAATTTAAAAACCAGCATACAAAAGAACAAAGTGGTAACGAAAGGGGTAGCTTTTCAGGTACAGGGCTTTAAAATCCATAATCTGGAATTTGAACAGAAACTAGAAAATATGTGTTGACTTTCTGAATGAAAGCAAATAACCACTCAAGACTATGATAGGCTAATATAGAACTCAAGTTCTAAAGCAGTTAGTACCTACTGGGATGGGCCTGGTGCAGCAGCCTAGCGGCTAAATCCTTGCCTGGAACATGCCGGGATCCCATATGGGTGCATGTTCTAATCCCAGCAGCTCCACTTCCCATCCGGCTCCTTGCTGGTGGCCTGGGAAAGCAGCCGAGGATGGCCCAAAGCCTTGGGACCCTACACCTGTGTGGGAGACCTGGAGGAAGTTCCTGACTCCTGGCTTTGGATTGGCATAATCCCAGCCGTTGCAGTCACTTGGGGAGTGAATCACTGGATGGAAGATCTTCCTCTCTGGCTCTCCTCCTCTCTGTATATCTAACTTTGTAAAAAATAAATCTTTAAAAAAAATCTATTGGAACAGTTAGGATATAGATCTTAGAACTGTTTTAGAGACATATAGAATAGCTGCATTATAACAAGAAGATAAACATGACTCAAAGATGTAGAAAAAAATGGAATTTTCTTACTTATTAACATTTATTGCATTTTAAAATTTAAATAAAAGGCCTTAGATAACCAAAATCCACATCACTGCCAAAAAAACATGATAAAAACAAAAATCAAGAATTCAATAAATAACCATCACAGGTTTATTGCATAATTTAGCAAGTCCTTTTAAATTCAACAGACTTTTTATAAATAATCTATAAAATCAAGAACTAAAATGTGTTGCTGAAAGACTAAATAATTTGGGGGGTCAGCACTGAGGTGCCATTGTTACCAGCAAAACAAGCATCCCCATGTAAGCACCCGTTCTAGACCCGGCTATTCCATTTCTTATCCAGCTTCCTGATAATACACCTGTAAAAGCAGTGATTGGGCCTCTGCACCTAGGGGACCTACCTGGATGGAGTTTCAGGCTTCTGGCTTTAGCCTATTACTGAAGCCACTTGGAGAGTGAACTAGGAGACATAATCCCTTTTTCTATCACTCTCTCTCTCTCTCTGTGTAATTTAGCCTTCAAACCCAGAGATAGGCAACAAGGGCACAAAAAAACGAGAGGGATTTTTTTTTTTTTTTAAATAGCTGCTAGACTAGCCAAGTGATTGATGGAAAAAATCTGGTTGTTTTCTCAAATTCATGTTTAATCTACGGAATATTCTCACCCACCCATGTAAGGAGAGAATATCTTTTTCTTTATTATTTTTTGTTTCATGAAAGGGAACATAATCCAAAAGCTGTCAAGGTCAACACCGTTAGTCACTCTATTTAGTACACAAAAAAATTATCTGCAATAGGGAAGACTGGAGATCTTATTTAGAAAATGCCCTTTTGTATCAACCCAATACAAATCAATTAAAAAGAACTTAGAAAACTTATGGAGACATCTGTGAAAAACCTGGTGGTTTAATATAATTGCTACAGATTAAATATGAAGCAGCCAGCCACAAGAGGAAGGTCTGTTACCTGGATAGATGGGTATGTCCGGTTGTTGTCTGTGCTGTGCTCGCCTGGAATGCTGCCTGCTGAGCGTCCTTCACATTTGTATCTGAAGCGCATGCCCCTCTGCCTCGGTTGCTCAATTATCTCTATATAGGGATTATAGCCACCTGAAAATTTAGAAAACCAAGGAAGAAGGGGCTGACATTAAAATGTTTTAATTTTTTTAACAGCAGAGTAAAATAAAGATTTTCCTCTGTACATTAACAAAGTTGAAATGACTTGATGGGACAAACATATTTCCCCCCTCAAATTCAGCTCCTATGTAGTGTTAACACAACTCATTCAAATTACACAGACTGGTTAGTACTTTTTTGCTTAACATCTTGAGCTGTCACCAGTTTGAAGTTCTGAGATAACTACCTCAGAGATATCCACTTCCTAAGTGAGACCAAGCACAAGGGTTTCCCCTAAAATCCCCCTAGAAGGGTGAAGACAACAGCATTTAGAATAAAATATCACACTCCAAAAGTGAGTAAGAGTATTTAGGTGCTTGATTTTACATCACATACTTAATAATTGACATAAAAAAGACAACTCATTGAAAATGGATTTAAATCCTTGTCTAGTGGAACATTAAAGGTCTTGTACATAAGTATCAAGGGCCCCCACTGGAGCATAGTGGATTAAGCTGACCCTTGTGGTGCTGTCATCCAACATGGGCTTCAGTTCAAGTCCCAGCTGCCCTTTCCGATCCAACTCCCCTGAAACCATGTGGGAGACCCAGAAGAAACTCTAGACTCCTGGCTTCAATCTGGTACAGCCGTGAGTCTGCTGTGATCACTTGGGGTGTGAATCAGTGGATGAAGATCTTGATTCTCTCTTTCACATTCAGCCTTTCAAACAAAGTATATCAAAACAAGCTCCAGAAAGGGTGTTGGAATTCTCTGTCCCATCTAAACCTTTTCTAAACTGTTAGACACAATACAGGAATAAGAAAATATCTGTAACAAATATAATCCAAAACATGCATCCTCAAAATGAACTAATGCAAATAACACAGATGACTCTTAAAAATAATTACAGTAAGTGAAAGTCAGACCAAGATGGCATATACTGCGCGATTAGAATTTACATAAAATGTTAGAATGTGTAAGCTAATCTATAATGAAAGAAAGCAGATTAATAGCCTAAAAAACAGAAGTGTAGGATAGATGAGAAAATGCAGGGATATTAGATATGTTTATTATCTTGATTGGTGATGATTTCAAGGATGTATTCACATCAACACTTATCAAATCACATACTTTGAATATGTACAATATGTTTTCCGATAACTATGTCAACAACACTGTTTAAAACTTTCCCACTACTACACTCTTATCTAAAACACAGAAGCAAAAGTTCAACAGTAGTGCTGAGAAGTGGAAAACTAAAAATGTGTTTTTATGGGGGCTGGAACCATGGTATAATATGCTAAGCCTCTACCAGTGGTGTCAGCATCCCATATATGCCCCAGATATATTTCAGTTGCTCCACTTCCAATCCAGCTCCCTGCTTATGACCTGGGAAAGCAGCAGGGAATGGCTCGAGTCTTTGAGACCATGCACCCCTGGGGGAGACCCAGAAGAAGCTCCTAGCTTAGGATTGGCTCAGCTCTGGCTGTCAGAGCCATTTGGGAAGTAAACTAGTAGATGGATGACTACTTTTTGTAACTCTGCCTTTCAAATAAATAAATCTTTTAAAAAGGTGTTTTTATTTCTGATGTGATGACATCTTTTTTTAAGTTGCCTTCAATCAGACTAATGATTTCTAAATTCCCCAAACTACTTATCCATTTTACTAAGGCTTTACCTATTAGTATGCAATCAATCTTCAAGAAGAGCTAACTCAGCAAACCTCATCAGTACACTATGACAAAGAAGCCTTTTTAATCCTATCCATTTACCTCTTTTAACAATAAAATTTTGAAAACACTATTAAACCACCTCCTCTGTGAAGTGGGGGTCATAATAGTAGCACCTTCTTTATAGGATTCTTACGAAGATCACAAATTACAGGTTTTAAATTCTTACTAAGTGTCAAACATAACAGATATTTGACAAATGGTATCTACTGTTATTTCAGATGCTTTAAAGCAATGGATAAATGTATATCATGACAGCAGCACAGCAGCTGATAAAGGACTTTACAGGACAGGGAAGCCAACAACACACATCATAGACTACCGAGAGGAGGAAAGCACTAACAAAATTCTGCATTTTTTCCTAACTATGTCACAGGAAAAAAAATGTCAGTGAAACAAGACTGGAGGTGAGATAAGAAGGAAGAGGGTAGGCATTCCAGGGAAAGGAAAGTATGGCCACAAAATCAAGAATCGTTAGTGGAAGTACAGTGCATTTCTACTTTTAGAAAAGGAACCAAGAAGCCAGCGATGTGGCACAGCACGTTAAGTTGCCACCTGCAATGTCAGCATCCAATATCTTTGGGGTTCAAGTCTCAGCTGCTCCTCTTTGAACACAGCTCCCTGCTAGTGTATCTGGGAAATCTGCAAAAGATGACCCAGATGTTTGAGCCCATGCCACCCACTTGGGAGAGCCTACTGGCTTTGACCTAACCTAGCTCCAACCACTGTAGTCATTTAGGGAGTAAACCAGTGGACGGAAGCTCTCCTTACGCTGCCCTTCAAATAAATAAATCTTTTTAAAAGGAGCAGGGAGAGGAAGGCAGAAAGACAGGAGATGAAAGATGGAGAGAATGAAACAAAAATCACAGCACATTTAGCAGTGCAGATTTCATTGTATGTGGAACAAGGAATCAATGGATGTTGTTATATATGGAATATTAAAGTATCAGATTGGCATTTCAGAGTAGGAGTTTTGAAGGAGAGGCAGGCTGAACAGACAGAGCCAAGTGATCAGTATAGAGTCTACTATAATAGTAGTTCCCCTTATCCTCAACAAGTATGCTGCAGCAGATGCCTGAAGATGTGTGTGGCACCAAGTCCTGTGTAGAACCACATAATTTCCAATCCACACATACTTATGACAATTTTCACATTAGGTGGACTAAGATTTAACAATACTAATAAACATGACAACTATGACAATATAATGTAATAAGTTAGTTAAAATCTATTTTTAGAAATTTCCACTTAATATACTGGAACCAGCTGGCCAAAAGTAAAAGCGTAAGGTGAAACCATGCATAAAACAACATCTGTAAAGTGAGCAATGATGAAACTATGCCTGAATTATGGCAGTGATAATAGGAACAAAGTGTCATGTAGAAGAGAAAACGGACAATACTCGATGGAGAACAGTGGAGTTCAGGGTAATTATAGAATTGATAGATCCATGCCATCATTTTTTCCTTTAGTTTTATTCTGTTCAGTTCAGAGTCCTTGCTTTTAATATGCTACCTGATTGTTTGTTAATTCAAAACACAAAGAAACAGGAAAAAATTATTTTATAAGATCTGAAACGGCTACATAGAAAGGAACAGAGAGAGAGAGTGGCGGGGGGAGGGAGAGAGGGAGAGAGACAGAAGAAAAGAGAGAGGGAGAGAGAGAGGGAGAGAGAGGGGGAGAATATGAATGTCTTAGACATACTGGTTTATTCCCAAATGGCCTCAAGGGCCAGGGCCAGTGCCAGGCCAAGCCAAAGACAGGAGTTTCATCTGGGGCTCCCAAGCAGATGCAGGGGCCCAAGCACTTTAGGCATTTTCAGCTATTTTTCCAAGCACATTAGCACACAGCTGGACTGGAAATGGAGCAGCCAGGATGCAAACTGGTGCCCACATGGGACGCTGGCATTGCAGGCAGCTTCAATATTCCATAATGCTGGCCCTGAGAAACTGACTTTTGACCCAACCAAATTTCTCATACTTATTTTAGTTTTGCTGAAAAAAACTTAAGGTATTTATAGATGAATACTTCACAACTTTATGCATGTTCTTATATATTTCAATTTCACTTTCAAATATTTTATATTTTTATTTATCTTTACAGTATTCAAGAAAAAGTACATTTCCCACTCAATCGCTCATAAAATTAACAGCATTTTAAGAGTGACATCATAAATAATTTGTGTGGTTGAACTAAATGTCATATAAATCCCTGCCCACTACATATTTAAAAGGTGTCATGGTGAGAAATTGATATAGAATGACCTCATAAATGGTAAGTGGTTAACTCTTGGAGGGGAGGGGAAGTGTGAATGAAAGTGACAGGCTCATTGTGAGCACTCAAAGGGAGCATTTAAAGATTTCACTGCTTAAATAATACTTCTTTGAGATAGCTTGGATAAAAAAGTCTATGAATAAAAAAAGAAAAGTAGCTAAAAAGAGTAATGATTTTAAAATAGTAAAAATGATATAAATATTAGATATTATATAAAGTACTTGAAACTCTTTACAGAAGTTCTTAATTGGTAAAGTCTCATTAGCAACCAATTAAGTTTATTATAATATCCTTTTTTAAAAAAAAGATTCATTTATTTAATTGTGAAGGCAGGTTTATAAAGAGGAAAGACAGAGATGAAGATCTTCCACCTGCTGGTTCACTCCCCAAGTAGCCACAAGGACTGGAGCTTAGACAATATGAAGCCAGGAATCTCTTCTGAGTCTCCCACACTGGTCCTGGGTAACAAGGCTTTGCGCCATCCTCCACTGCATTCCCAGGTCACAAGCAGGGACTGAATGGGAAGTGAAGCAGCTGGAACATTAACTGGTATCTATGGGATCCTGGCAGTTGAAAGCTGAGGATTTAGCCACTAGGCCACCTCACCCAGCCTATTAAACTACCATAGAATTTTGTTCATAGCAATTATTCCAAAAAACTAATTTAGGTAAGGCTTGTTTTCTTTGTTCTTGGAATAAAGCTACTTTGTTTTATTCCTTTAAACCACTTGCTCATTAGTACCTTATAGACCGGCAATAGTCATTACATATCTGTTGAACAGATTGAAAAATCTAGTGTTTTGTGTTTGTGCAAATTATTCAAATATTAAAGAGCTGTAGTAATGACCAGATTTTCCATTAGATTTTGTCATGAAAAAAACAGTGCCCTGTAGAATTGCTACATTTTTATACTTCTTCATATATAATCTGATCTACCTGTAATTATGATATAAAAGAACTACCCAGCTTTAAATCATTTGTATCATGAAATGTATGATGCACCAGCCATCTCCTCCTTCAGGAATCTATTTTGCAGAGCCATTCTTTCTCAAGATTAAAAATGCTCAGATGCAGACATCTATGGAGCTGAAAAAAGTAAATAAAAGTTGCGAGACTGTGAAGAAAATGAGTACTGATAAGATTACTGCAGAACACCCATTTTGAAAAGCATTGGAATGTCTTCAAAATCAGTTCTAAACACTATAATCACTATATTTCTCTTCAACCAATTCCATGCAAAGTTGGAATTGACTCATATTTTACACAACACTGTAAAATGCTGGTATAGTTCACAATAACATTTCAAAAATAGCCAAAAACGCTTGCAACATATGTTTATGTTTTTATTTGTACTTAGGTTAAAAAGGAATGCTATATCAAAACATTATGCTGGGGCTGGTACAAAGGCTCAACTGGCTAAACCTCAGCCTGCAGTCATCATCCCATGTGGACGCCAGTTTGTGTCCCAGCTGCTCCACTTCCCATCCAGCTCCCTGCTTGTGACCTGGGAATGCAGTGGAGGATGGCCCAAAGCCTTGGGACCCTGGACCAGTGTGAGAGACCTGGAAGAGGTTCCTGGATTTGCATCAGCTTTACTCTGGCTGTTGTGGCCATTTGGAGAGTGAACCAGCAGATGGAAGATATGTGTTTCCTTCTCTCTGTAAATCTGCCTTTTCAATAAAAATAAATAATTTTTTAAAAATAATAATGCCTATCTTTTATTATTTAAAAATAAATTAAAATAGATCATCTGTTGTCAGACACATTAATTAAAATATTATTAATATAACTGGAAGCAGCAGTAAGTACACTATTGCAAACAATCATTCTAATACAATATTAAAGCACTTTTATATATATACTTCTCATATGACAGCCTCAATCTTCATAAAAACCAACCAGGAATTATTCTGATTTATTGATGATAAAAATAGAATTCAAAATTATATGAAGTTATACGAAAAAAAAATATGAGCAGCACATCTGGGATCTCAACTTGAGCAAGAAACCAACATCAAAGCAGCTGGGGAATAAAGCCCCAGGACCCCCACAACACATAATGTGCAACGCAGAACAAATGCAAACTGCTTTAGGAAGAAAATGAAGGCACTGATACAGCCAACGAAAGCCCTAGACAAAGTTTAAGCTGGAAATGCATATCAGAACGACAAAGGTAACTTTTCCAAAACACACATACCCTGATGCTGTCTGGAATTTGAAGAGAAATAAAAATCTTGAAGGGTAAAAACCAGACATGTTTCTGGAAAAAGCCTTCCAAACAATCCTAATACATTCTAGATTAAGACTCATGGCTTTAAAACATAAATCAGTGGAAAGTGATGCACATAAATAGAGAAGCAATCCAAAAATTCAGGTACCTGTTTGAATTGAGTAATGAACACATTAGAAAAAGCAACTTTAGCTTTTTTCTCACCCACTCACAAAAAAAAAAAAGCTTGTTCAACTGTAAGCAAGACTATTACAGATTTCAATTGTTTAAATTCCCTTGCTAAATAAATATTTTAGTACTATCAGTACAGACTTCTTGCAAAAAGCACACAAATGAAGGTTAGGCCAGTGTGCCAACACCCCAGTGACAGAGTCCTAGACAAGATTCAGCTCCACAAAAGTAAACAATAAATAGTTTTCTAAAGATAACCTCTATTCACTCAGGAGAAAAAGAAATTAAGACTTCTTGTTTTACTCAAAGCAGGTTTATCAAGGGCTAAAGCTGAGATTTGTTCTAACATAAAGGTTGACTTTCAACTGGACCTGAAGAACAAAGAAAGGGAATTTTTAGGTTGAGTCTACAACTAATGTGCATGCCACAAGATAAATAAAAGACATAAAAGATTTTGGCAATACAGAGTCCACTGCCATGAGGAGAAATCAAGCCTTGAAAACCTTCTTACTTAAAAGGGTGAAAAAGCGGAGAAATACCTAAAATCTGAAAATATGAACTTCAGATAAACCACATATTTTTTTTTTTTTTAGGATATCCTACACAATGTTCAGCCATATGCCTATAAAATGCAGAGAACACAGGTGGGAATGAGATGAGACAAAAAGGCATTCTGTGTCCCTTAAACTATTCTAAAAAGATACTACACACTGAAGATATTCCTAATTATGATTCATTACCTGAGCCCTTCCTAGTCATTTCATTCATTTCCTTTAGGTCTGTCATCTAACACCTTTTAGTCACTGGTATATCTATACTTCTTCACATGTTGCATTTCTGAAACATTTATGAGTAGTCCTTTGCCTGAATAGAGAAGCCATATGCTTAAACTATCCATTCCTCACTTCCAGCTCCATTATTAAGATCATGTTCCCTCACATTCACATCTATTCTTCCCCTCTTTAATCAGGATAAGTAATTATCTTGAATTCACACAATTTGTAATTTACACAAACAGTTGCTTCCTGTACTTCCTATTGGACGGCATAGCGGAAAAAAAGGCGAATAAACATTACATAAATTTTAAAGCATTTATTAGTTTATTAGTACAATGCTATGTTTACTAGAATGATTAGAAGCTTTATATTCAGACATAAAATACTTCATTTTATTTACATTTAAAAATATATGAATATTTGCTACCTAATTAGGTAAACCTTCAGTCTGGCAACATTTTTCCTCACTATGCCCATTCAACTCAGTTGGAACAAGACTGGGATCAAGGTATACTAATTTTCAAAAAGACAATGAAAAAGTTTAATAGGATCCAAGCTACGAAATCCAAAACAATCTTATAATTTATCTGAACAAAATTCAGAACCGTGTATAAAGTTCCAGCTACTTGCTGCAATTACGTAATTTTGCTTATGAGATTAGGATCTGTGCTCCTTTTGCATTAGGGACATGTAGCTGAATAGGTGAACTATCTATATACATGTCACATCCGGTGAGAAATGAAGAAATTGTCTCTTACGCTTAGTAATCAATAAAAATATTTTTTCAGGTTTTAATTTCTTCCTACAAATACAATCTACAATCTAAACTGGACTATGACAGATTTTTTTTTTTTTGCAACTACTGGTTAAGCTCCTATTTCAAAGTACGATGGGAATTTTTAATTTAGTGAATCTTTTTTTCACTAAGTTCTTTATAACTTACAAAGGAAAGTACACCAAGACTCCTTTAAATTTTTTTTTCTTCCCTGCTGATTTCAAACAAACTTATTATAAAGAGCCCCATTTTAATACAACTCTAGAAAGAAGACCAAGACCAAAAACCAAAGGTTTAGTGACCCTACAATTTCCACACTTTGCCAATTTTCCATTTCTTCAATTTTTCCCTTCAATTTAGAGAATCCTTAGTCCTCACCACAGCACAGAATCGGTCAACAAGTTAGATTTTCAAAATCACGCACATCTTAATAGTGCTCTTTAAAAAATGGTGTTTCCTCTCTTTCGGAGAGATTCAGATATTACATTAATAAGATGCGGCTCAACAGCCATCAGGCTTTTTTTTTTTTCTTTGCATGCTCACCATTCTTTATCACTTTCAAGTGCAATTTTTCTGATAATAAATTAAGTGAACAGCTAAAGGCATCTTTGTATGTGGGAACGAAATTTGTGAATTTACACGATTATCTGAAAGTGCGGGGTCACTTGAGTGAGTAAAGGGAAAGTTGAAGTATTTTAAACTCCACTTGAATTCTCACACGAAAACCACAGACAAACTGAAATCAAATGTCATGTGAAAACACCCCAATTTCCTTTTCAGCCCCCAGCAGCGAAGGGCGCTGTGCTGCTCAACCCTTTAAAGAGGTTCTAGATGCTTTCTACTTCCTCTTCTGGACTCGACCCTGGCCTGGTCACCGAGGGCTAGGGGAGCTGGGTGGCCGGCCGGGAAGCTGCGGTCCAGCGCTCACAAGCCCCATCAGCATCCCCGTGGGCCTCCGGCAGGTGCTGCCCATGCCTGCCACCTGCCCCCTCCACCTGGCCAGAGGCCGGCCAGAAGTTCCAGGGCAGCCCTGTCTCCGGGCCCGACCCGCCCTAGCCTACTGACAGCCCTGCACAGGTCTGCAATCAGCACCCTCACCTCGCCCCGAGCCCCGCACACTGCTGCCGCAATAAACGTGACTCACGCTCCATCGCAAGAGATCTAAGGATATATTAACGGAAAACACACGAAATTATTACTGTCTACAAGCACCCTGCCCCATGACTTTAAAGCACAGATATACCAAAAATGTCCTTGTTCCTTCCGTATCTCCAACAAGGTGGTGGCGGGCAAGCCAAAGTCTCTACAAGGGAACCTTTGCTTCGCCGTGCGGGGCGAGGAGGGATAAAGTCTGAGGAAGAAACTTTCCACCTCAGAGCTGTGAAAACACCACAGAAAACATCTAAAGCCCCGCCACGCTTTGCCAGTTGTCAGCCGCCCGGTACCTAAAGACAAGAAGCTCAAACAAACAAACAAACAAACAAAACGGGCAGAAGTTCCAAAGGTTCCTCATTCTGGGGCTAACTCATAAGCTGCCATCTCGACACCAGCCAGTTACCAAGGGCACTCCTCACCCTCTCCGACCTGGACGGTGACTTTCCTCACACCACCATCCGAAGCCGTGGGGAATTTCTCAGGTTCCGGTTACGAAACTGGAATCCAATTACAGAGCTCGGCTTTGATTTCGCACGTAAACCCCGAGGCAGGTACTTTTTTTTTTTTTTTTTTTTTTAGAGCTGATAATGTGCCAGACGAAGCGATCTTTTTAAGAACGAACCTGCCCGGGCCTCCCTCCCCGTTAGAGTCCCGAGCCCTGGGCACCCCGCGCCGGGAACACTCACCCGAGGCCATGACTCCGCTCCTGTCGCCGCCCGCACACAGGCAGCTCCCCGACTTCGGGCTCGAGGCCGCCGAAGCCAGTCAGTCAGTCAGTCAGTCAGTCAGACAGGAGGCCAAGGGACCTCTGCAGGCTGGACCTCTCAGTCCCCCTGACCACCCCCGGGCTCCCCTCCTCCTCCTTCCCGCCCTCCTCTGGACTTGTGGCTCACACCTTCCCACCCCCTGAATTCTCGCGCTCCGGCTTTACGAGCGTCTCCCTTCCAAGGGTGCCGGAGCCCAGGCGCAGGGGGCGGAGCGGGGCGGCCAGCCCAGCCGCGGCCCGGCCGAGAGGCGGGCGGCCTGGCGGGAGGGGGATTTCCCGTAGCTGACGTCGCCTCCACGCCGCCGCCTTCCCCGGGGCGTGGGGCGTGGGGCGTGAGGCGTGGGGCGGGGCGTCCGTGCGGCGGCGCGCGTGCCCGAGCGGCCTGCGCCCCACCCCGGGCCCGCCCCCGCGCGCGCCCCCGCCGCCGCCGCTCTGAGGGACTTGGGAAGCCGGGCGGGAACGCGGGACGGTCCGGAACGCTGGGAACGCGGGTGCCCGGAGCCGACGGCCCCGAGCCGTGAGAAGCCGCGCGGCTCCTGAGAAAACCCCCTCCTCCAGGTTGTTCTTCCGAGCGAGGTTTAAAGTTCAGGAGCGGGTGGGAGGGCGCGTGACGTAAAGAGGGCCGGCCGCCCGGGCGCACGTGGGGGCGGGCCGGGCGGCCGAGGGGAGGCCGGCCTCCCGGGGTTTTCGATGGGTGGTTCCCCCTCTTCCCGATTTCGCACATGCAAATCGACGCCCCCACGCTTCTAATTCGTGTATTTGCATACGGGGACCCCCGCAATCTGACTTTTCCCCTTTCTTTCTATCTAAATGTTGAGGGCGCGGTTAACTTCATGTCTTTTGCCTTGCCCAAACCTTTGACACCGAAAGGTCCGCGCGGCCAGTCGGTGGCCTCCTGGTGACGCGGCGTGCTCAGGTTGGGGGAGGTGGCCGCCCTGTCTTGGGGTTTGACAGCCACACCACGGGAAACGGGGGAGTGGAACCGAACACGTCGTGTGTTTGAGGACCTGGTGTGACTTGGTTCCCTTTGTTTGCCAAGCACCTGCAGTGTCAGATGTTTTGTTTACAGCATCCGTCCGGCATCATCCCCTCATATTATCTGAGGCAAAACTTAAAAAAAAAATTATCTGAGTTCAGAAAAAATGAAGAACAGTGCCTTGTGTTCTAATTCAGAATGCTGGGAAAGAATAAGCCTTAAACCGTTAAGAGGATTTAAACTCCCAGGTTGTGCTACTATGAAGTACTATACTCTTCCTCATCTCTTTCTGAATAGAATGTGGAGCAAATGGGAGTGCCATCCTGTTTGATTGGCGCATTTCAAAGAAACACTGGCAAACCTGTGTGGGAGACCAGAATGGAGTTCCTGGACCAGACTTGACTTCAGGGACTCTTTGAGAAGGAGAACTCTCTGCCTCCTTCTCTTCTTCGAAAAACATCCCAGCCTACCAGGGGCTGATTTAGCTTTTCAAAACAGTGTATCATGCATTTCAACAAGAGGCAAATCATTTACGGTTTCATTTTTTCTAAAGGAATTGCTAAGTGGGAGTGGCAGTATTCTTTGAGCTTTTTAGCAGCAGAAAAAAATTTTTTAATGTTGACTGAAGGCAGAGCAGTAGTGGCAGATTGCCCATTCACTGGTTCATTCCTCGGATGCCCACTACAGCCAGGGCTAGTCAAGCTGGAGCCAGGAGACAGGAACGACATTTGGGTCTCCCACATGGATTTAGGGAGCAGGGCACTTAGTCTAATATCTGCTGTGTGCCAGGATGCTTTTCAAATCAATTAATCTTTTAAAAAAAATTCCAGGAGGGTGAGTGAAGGACAGATGGAAATATTTCACCATGTGTTTGTTTATATTTTACCTACAAAAAGAGGTGGGTTTTTTGGCTTGTTGAACTGACTTAATAATGTTTGTTTACTGAAGAGCTCAGAACCTAACAGAGGGCTCTCCCAGTTGCAGGGCCCCGAGGAGTCTAAAGACAGTCTCATGTATGGCAGCACAAACTGCACCTCAGGAAGTTCAGATGGCTAGCAAATTTTGAATTAATTTATCTATTATTTTCCCACACATTTGCTTATTTAAAGCTTTCCAATACAAACATGTTTATATTTACTTGTAGGCTGTTTTCATGTGCCACTTGACTAACTGATGGATCTCTGTTAAACATTTTTTTCCGTATCCTTTTTGTTACTTATTAAATTAGTTGATATTTCTCTCCAAAGAGTTAGTTCATATCTGAAAAAGGAAAGTATTTCATTTGTGTAGGATACATCTATTTAGGAAAAAGCATGAAGAATGGGCTAAAATGAACGACAAATATAAGTAGTGATTCTGACATCTTTATTTTTTAGGAATCATGCAGGGGAAAAAAGTACGATGCAGCTTATTGTTGGGGGTTATAGAGAAGAATAGCATGTGATATTTTTTTTCATGGGCTGAAAGCCTTTGACGCTTTCATTCAGTTAAATAAATGCCCACTCTATGCCAGCTGTTCTGTGCAAGCTGTTCTAGGTCAAGGGTAGGAAACATGAGGTCAGTAGACAGAGTAAGAGTAAGTAAGGCTCCTGAAATCATTCAGTCTAGTCCTGCCAAGGCAACTGCAGGCAGCGCTCTAATTCAATAAATGTGGCAGGCTAATTTTTAAGTGGATAGTTTTGTATGGCCTGTGAATGACATAAATATCCCAACAGCCCTTGGTAGCCAATGGTTTTCCATTTTTGTAGATATGTATACATTAATAAGAAAAAATGTGTCTACATGCAGCTGTATTCTACATGGAAAACATTAAGCATGTGAGCAAATAAGGTCATTTCAAATCCTGTTATTAAATAGCTTGTCATTTTATTGCTATAAAAAAATAACAGGTTGGGAAGCGACTACGAGAAGGATGCTCTAAGAAGTGAGAGTTGAGCTGAGGACCATGTAGTTAGAGACACCTCCAGCAAGAAGTAAAGAACAGAGGAGCAGCCAGCACCAACTCCCTGAAGCAGCTGAGCGTTCCCTGGGGACACTGAAAGGTAGCCCAGAGACCTAGAGGAAATGGAAGGACACCAAGGAGATCAGTAGGGACTGGATCCTGGCGGGCCTTGTAAGCCATGCTGCAGAGGGTGCATTTTATTTTTGTAGCACATTGAAAATTACTGGACAGTTTTAAGCAAGTAATTGAATGACAGTGTGTAGGATGTTTACTCTGACAGAAGTATTAGTTATTAGTGGCATTGACTAGGGAGAAGAGTAAAGGCAGAAGAGTTAGGAGGCAGTGATCTGAGAAGTGAAATTTGGACTAATGCTATAGCAGATTACATGGTGGAAAGAAGTCAGATGTAAGATATTTTGGAGACAGAATTAGAAGAACTTGCAGATGCTTTGGATATGGGTGGGATGGACAAGACATAAAGGGGGTAACTCCTGCATTTAATTTTTACTTACTGGGGGTGGTGTGGTAGCACAGTGGGCTAATTCTCTACCCTGTGGTGCCAGCATCCCTTATGGGTGCCCATTTGTGTCCCAGCTACTCTACTTCCCATCCAGCTCCCTGCTTGTGGCCTGGGAAAGCAGCAGAGGATGGCTCAAGTGCTTGGGACCCTGCACCATATGGAAGACATATAACAACTCTTGGTTCCCAGCTTCAGATCAGCTCATCTCTCGTTGTAGGAAAGAGGAGACACTGAAAACGGCATTCTGGAATGGAACTTGAGAACATATATGTGATTGTCCTGAATGTCCACTTGAGATCATACCAGCCATCATAGTATTTCTGACATGGATTTTGCTCAAGGAAATTAATAAGCAACATAACACTGAAAAGGAATATGAATAAGAAAAGTATTTTTATTTCTTTCAAAGAGTTAGAGGGAGAGACAGAGATCTTCCATTCACTGGTTCACTCCCCATATGGCTACCATGGCTGGAGTTGTACAAGGCCAAAGCCAGGAACCCAGAGTTTCTTCCTGACCTACCACATAGATTCAGGAGCCCAAATACTTGGGCCGTCTTCCACTGCTTTCCCAGGTGCATTAAAGGGAAGCTGGTTAGTAGAGAAACTAGATTTCGAACCTGTGCCCATATAGGATGCTGCTGTCGCAGGCAGTGGCTTTCCTACAATGCTAGCTCTAGAACTAGGGAAATTTAAGTCTGAATGGAAATGAGTGAGAAGAATGAATAAAGCTGCACATAACTTCCCAGGTGATCTTAACCATTCTCATCCTGGGCCATTGAGCCTGGTTAATTTCCTGGGCTTCAGACCTATATATCCAGTTGTGTGCTGGACACCTGCAGTGGTAGCCATATGCATCCCACATTCCACCTACCTAACACCTCTCCCTGGTTGACTCTGCCTCCCATTTACCTGGACTCAGTCTAGAAACCCTAAGAACCACATATGGTTCTCTCACCATGCCACATCACCCCAGAACATGTTATCGCCATTTCAAATGCGAATCCATCCCTTCAACATTTTAGCTTGTCCTTGTTCAGATATTTATCTTATCTTGTCTGAACCACCTGTGACTCTGCTACCCACATGGGATACCCAGAGGAAGCTCCTGGCTTCTGGCTTTGGAATGACCTGGTTCCAATTATTGCAGCTGCTTAGGGAATGAGCTAGTAAAGAGAAGATCTCTCTCAATCTTTTTTTCTTTCTCTAATTCAGCCTCTGAAATAAATAAATCTTTACAAAAAAATTTTTAATGTACCCTAATCAGATTCTATTTCTCTCCAGTTGTCCTTCATTCCCACTTTCTTTTCTTTCTTTGTGGGTGCAGGGTGACAAGGCCTTGAGCTGCTGCTTTCCCAGGTGTGTTAGCAGGAGCTGGATTGGAAGTGAAACTGCCAGGACTGTAACCACTGCCTGTGTAGGATGCTGATATCAGCTTAGCTCAATGTGCTACAATGCCAGCCTCTCCCTATTTCTTCAAGATGATCCATGAGACCTGTACTGTGAAATTATAGGTTAAGCTTCCACTTGGGTGATGGCATTCCATATGGACTCCAATTTGATTCCCAGCTGTTCACTTTTAATCCAGCTGGCTGCTAATGCACCTGGGAAAGTAGTGGAAGATGACCCATGTCCTTACCACCTTTTACAAATTTCTGCTTTTCTGGATGTGTATTCCTCCTTCATACTCCCATGTTCTCTGTTAAAAATGCCTAGTCATCTCTG